CAAGGTGGTCATTGTTGCTCAAAAATCGTATCAAGGTTGCTCTCTCCGAATACATTTGTTGCTCGAGCGATACGAAGTTTGCCTTTGATTTTGTGCCCATGAAAAACATTACTCCTGACACTTACAGTCCAGATAAGATATTAATCGATCGTGTCTTGGCTCCTCTCGGCTTAAAATCAATGGTCAATGTACCAGTCGACCACACATGCAGTGAGGCACATGGTATTGTTGTGACTCATCAAAAGGATGGAAAGTGGTATTTTCAGGAGATACACGACCTTGCCAACGCCTCATTGACGCTGGCAAAGACTGCACGGTGCTGATTCACGAGTCAACGTTTGAAGCTGCACTTCTTCAAGATGCTGTAAACAAGAAGCATTCATGTTCACATGAGGCCATTCAGGTTGGTGAAAAGATGAACGCCTATCGAACCATTTTGACCCACTTTTCACAACGCTATTGTAAATTCCCAATTGTGGATTCGCACGATTCAGATTATGCCATCAAAAATGTTGCAGTGGCACACGATTTGATGAGACTAAACGCCAAAAAGCTTCCCAAGATTCCTCGTGTGATGGAACTATTGAAAGATTTTTGGTCCATCATTGAATTGGATGATTCTGCTTTTATCAATAATCCAATCTCTGAAGATCAGGTCAATGATTAAACAATGAATGTGATGAATCTTTGCTTCATCCCTTTTGAATATATCTACACACGGGAGCGACTCGAGTTGGCATTTTGGATACCAATGAAGACATTTGACTCACCTTCCGAATCCAATTCCAATAAAATCCACACAACAACATTCTCTCCCACCTATTATCGAATAACACTCTCGATTTGTCGAACGCCTTTCATGAACTGCGCAGAAACGAACCATCCACCAAAAGAAAAAATCAAAAACGCCAATCAAGAACATCTTTCACACAACCACGTCCATAAATACTAGAAAACCTTCTCACGTGCATCACAGCACACTCTTGTTAGATCATCAATACAAACCTTCTCATGTCCTCCTTGTCACCGCCATCACCAAGAACATTTGATCGCAATCGGAGTGACTCTGTTTCCAGTAGTGCAAGCTCCACCAATACAACAACTCCCTTCGCATCGTCATCATCATCATTACTCAATCCTCCTCCTCCTCCTCCAACAACAACAACAACAACAACAACAATTACTACAACGAAAAAGAAAAAATCTTCTCGAAAATTGTCTTCCTCTTCGAAAACTGCTGCCAATCATAGAAATGGAACCACATCATTGGAATTTGCGGAATCTTTGCCCCACATGTCAAAATCGACGACAAGTAGTTCTATTCGAGTAGAACATTATCATCAACAACCTCACGACTCGAATCGTTATGAAAATATTCGAATTAATGAAGTTCAACCCTTACTTCATCAAGTAGAAATGGAAATGAATCAATTAAGAATGACAAGAACTCAATTTAAATTAAGCTGTAATTTGGTATTGAATATTATGATCTTTATTTTGAATATGGTGTTTTTGTGTTTATTGAGTTGTGTGTTGGCGTATGTCTTGTCACCAATTTATGTGAATCATGACGTTCATGAATTTCAAGTGGGAGGATCAAATTCAGTAGATTCTTCGAATGGAATTATTCCATTTTCAGCTGTTTCAGTGGATGGAAATGGACATGTGTATCAGGGATTTGGAATGGGATTTTCTTATTCGAGTGTTCAAACAAATTACTCGCAAGAGGTGACAGGCCAATTTCGAACTGTTTCGTTTTATCCTCATTTTGATTCTATTCTTGTAGTGAGACCAGAATATCAAAATAATATCAATGTGACATTTTCTGATATTCATTCGAAATCATTCAATAATGGTATTGTCATCTTGTCAAGTTGGATTCTAAAAGGAGGCAAACAATATGTACAACCCATTTACATTTTCAAAAACATGACATTTATTCCACAAACCATTGATCAAGTATTCATTCATTGCATTCATCATGTGGAAGAATCTCAACAAACAGTCATGATGATTCATGTGAAAAATACGGAAACGAAAGAATTATTTCTCTATTTATTGATTGGTCAGATCGAGAACGAGACGTCACATGTTTTTCAATCGGATCCAATTTTAATTTATAATTACACATTTCCATCTTGGCAACATTCTGTTGAAGAAGAATTAGCATGGAGCAATGAAAGAATTTTAGCAAGCTCTTCGATGGCGATCATTCTTAAAGATTCTCAGAAACAAGTTGGAGTTGTTTCACATCGATTCGATGACAATACGTGTCGATATTATTTATTTGATTTACAAACACAACTAGAGGCGATCGATTCATTCAAGGGATCTCCTTCTTCCTCTCCTTTCACTTCAAATGGTGAACCTTCTCGAGTTAAAATTTCACAACTCACTTTACAACAAGGAATTTCGTGTTACTCGGTCGATCTAACCACTCTTCACATGGAAGAAAAATATTCAAGTCGTGACGATAGATATTCAAGTAGTGACCAACAAACTTTGCAAACTTTATCACTCATTGCCACTGAATCGGTGGCTATTTTATTGAATGGCATTCAAATTTATTCCACACAACCCATTCCAACATGTCGTAAAGGTTATCAATTTTCAGAATTGTCGAATGGATACAAACCTGATCTCAATATACAAGTTAGAAATATTTTAGGTGGAAAATTTATTTTCTCATGTTTGAATAATCATGATGGATCTGTTTCCATGCTCTATGGACAAATCGTGACAACGACAAATAATTATGAAATTATGACAGGAACTAGTTTTTCAACAGTCATTCCTGGACGTGTCACGAATGCATGGCTCGTGCATTCCACGAAAAACGTTCTCGAGCCAGGTGTCAGAGAATATGATGTCTTTCTGACGTATGAATATTTGGAAGACAATATGAACTCTTTGGACGTGCTGACAATGCAACACTGTTCCTCAAAGTCTTCCGAACAAAAAGTGTCTCCACCAATGAAATCTTTTTATACCATCAAATGTACCACACCCACACAAACTCTCTCACATGATGAGTATCCAGTGTGCTCGACACCGTTCAAGCATCTCTCCTTTTCACCACAAACTCTTCAATACGACATTAGCTCAATAGCCAAATTTGGAGTGTTGTTTACAACATTGAGTTCAACAAATTTGTCACCCACCGCCATGCATGCAAATTTACAACATCCAAAATCCAAGAACAGCAACAACAACAACAACCTTCACCAATTAGACAACAAATATTTCGTTCTATCAACAGAATTATCAAATTGGCAAGGAGGATATAAATGGATTGGAATTTGCATTTCTTCAGGATCCTCATTTGGAACTGTCAAAGTGGCTCAAAGAGGTCTTGTCACATTCTCGAATATGCAACAAGAATTAATCGAAGGATCTTCCTATTATGCAAATATTGACGGAAGTATCACAAGGAAAACAACACCTTGGTATATTGGATATGCATTGACGAAAAAACAATTGTACATTGATTCGAGTTTTGTAAAATAGTGAACAGGTTTTGTAAATGGCTCCAAGAAAACACATTCAAAAGATATCTTGTGTGTCTTATATCTTCCTGTTATCGGCAAGAAAATTGAAACTTTTCGTTGCGCGCCAAAAAATCACTACAAAAAAAATGAGTGAATCTTATGAAGGAGATCCGCAGGTCATTTCGGCTTCCAGAGAAGAGGTTTCTTCGTCGTCTTCTCCGCCTCAAGAAGATGATGTGGTAGATCCGACACCCACTCCTCCAACAACGGCTGGTGATGATAATGAGGCGGGAGAAGCAGCAAATGCGGAGGAAGCTCAACACGAAAATCATGCACTTCAACAAGAGGAAGAACCCGAAGATGATGAAGAAGGATTTAAACCTTTTGATCCAAATGCATCCATGAACGTCAGTAATATTGTAAATACTCAACTGAATGATACCATGGGAAGTTTTGTCTCTTCCGCGAATGCCTTGCAAGGCATCAATGACAATAATGATACTCCGAATGTCATCCAAGATGTCGAAGCATTGAGAGAGGAAGAAAATAGAAAGAAACGAGAAGAACATTTGAAAATGAAAATTCGTCAGCTCAAGGACGAAGAACAGTCCTACTCGAAAATTAATCTCACCAATATTAATGCGAATTGGTTGTACTTGATGAGAGAAAGTAAATTGAAAGAGCTCAAGGAAACAATTCAAATACAGGCTCAGGATCACGACCGATTAGTCGACAGAAAGAATGCCACCATTCAACTCATGTACAGAGAATTGGATGAATCCGAGGAGCAGTACCGATCTGCTCTGAGAACTCACATGCAACATATCGAGGAATTGCTACAATTGCAAGATCAACGTCTCACTATTCTCCATCAAGAGTTCAACAATGACTTGTATCTCTTAAAAAAAGGAATATGAGGAAGAAATGGAAGAATTACGGATCAAACACGAGGAGGAAATGAAGGAATGGGCTGAAATTACCAAAGAAATGGAAAAGAGAGAGGAAAAAACGAATGAACTCATGGAAATGGATTTTGTCCAAACCAAGGAAAAGGTCAAGAATCGATATCAGGAAGAGCTCATACAAATGGTCGGCAACATGAATGACAAAATCGAAGAATACCGCCGCATCACCAAGCAAGAGAACAATGATCACTACGAATCCATGAATCAAAAATATAAGGATTATATCATTTTGAGAGAACGTGACAGCAGTTACATTGAAATTATCAAGAACCAAACGTATCAAATCAAAATGAAGGAGGAAGCTCTAGCTCACTGGAAAGCAAAATGGTTGAACAATCTCAGAGAGTGCGAGGACAGAAACAACAAACTCATTAAGGAGAAGGATCAGCTCTCCCAACATTTCAAGGAACTCAAAAAGAAGATGAATGCCTTTCGAGAGTCAGAAAAGAAGAGACTCACCGAGCTAGTCAAAATGAGTAAGGAAACGATCGATTCTCTCAATGAAAAGCTGGAAAAGGCCTCACGAATCCTCAAGTTATCTGAAGTGAATCGCAGGTATGAAACTGAGAGAGAGCGTTTGATTCCTTTTGAAACGGAATTGGAAAGCACGACGGCTTTAGCTTCGGTCGCTGAATCTGCCATGGAAGATTTGATGGACGGTGAGGAAAAGAAGTTCACTGAATCTGAGTGGCAACAGCTCGATCGTTTCTACAAACGTTTCAATAAGGTTCTTCTGGACAATTTAGCACTCGAACAGGAGAAGGAGCACTTGGTAGATCAAAACAAAAAGCTTCGTGATATGTTGAAACAATATTTGGATGGTATCACCGTTAATGAAGATGTTCTCAATAGTAGAAATCCACTCTTAATTGTAGATCCATTAATTAAGGGACGATCCCACGAGCCAGGAGCCAAAGAACTTGTCGTCGTTTCTGCCACAAGTAGACAAACAGAAAAGGTGAAGATTGGAAATTAAGGAGCGTGTGAATCCTTCGAATGGTGGCAATGATTCAGTATACTGTCTGACTTGCATGGAACCAAACATTATTCGACATAGCAGTGATCGAGAGGTATAATTGTTTTCATGGTGAACGATTGGTTGGGCCAAATGATTTTCTGAAATTATTTATGTGATATGGTCATTCTTTCCGTGTCATGACAGCCCATACAATATTTTCCTGAATAAAAAGAACTGTTCCAAGGAAACAGTGGTTTTTGGGCCGGTTCAGGGTTCTGATAAGAACTGGACGATGAATGTCAAATGTTTGTGACAAAGTACTTTGTCAAACCTCTACACAGCATAACTTTGTTGATCCATGATTTTCAAATAACTCACACTGTCTAGAAGCCACTTGCAAGTAACCGGCCTGTGTCCAGTTTCTTGTTCAATCTTGTCAGCCTCCTCTCGTGTCACATCATTGTCTGCAATAATGACATTTTCATATTTGGATTTTTTAACTCTCTTGAACATGGTACCATGAATGGTGCCACCTCCAAACGTGACCAAATCAGTGAGTTCTTTTTTTTTTTT